AAATTATTGGTATCAGAAATCGTTGGGGCAGATTAGTTTGTTTGTTTGTTGGTTTTTTTTTTTATACGAGATAGCGCTTTAAGTAGGGCCTACTTTTAATGAAAATCGTGTAGATTGAAAAAAATTTGCCAATATTGTTGACTGGAATTACTGGGATCAGCTTTTTTTAAAAGTCAGTAAAAGGTTTGCCGTTTAAATTTCAGAGAAGTCGTTAGAGCAGATTACTTCGTAATTAGAAAATCAACCAAAATTGAGCAGTGAAAAAATTGTCAGCTCCACTTCAGACCTAATTTCGTAAAAAGCAAGAAAAAAGAAAAAAAAACTACCACCGCCAGTAAAATCGGACAATTATTCTATTTTATTACTGTATGCTGATAGCTGCAGTTATTTTTCAAAGATTCGTGATCATCGCATTAATTCGAAAAAGTTATGACACAAAGTTTGTCATACTACGACAACGATGTACATGAATGTACCCCGCATGTTGTATTCCTGGCCAGCGTGTTTATTACACCTAAGTGACTCCTAGTTTTCTTTTTCAGTCTTAAAAAACACTATGGTGACATTTTCTCTCTGAAAGTTGGAAGCTACAATTCGGTAATAGCCTCAAGTTCTGGACAGTCAAAGAGATGCTTGTAACCCAATCTGTTGAGTACGCTGGGAGATCAGATTCCTACACCCTCTATACACTTACCTAAAGAATGTATTTGATGGCAATTTGAACACAACGTTATTTTCTTTGGAACTTTTTTTTGAAACATTCAAATTTGTCACCATTTTGGCACACCGTTCGTCTTCTGTGACCAAGATTAAATAACTCTATAGATTTAGCCAAGGCTAAAGGCGAAGCTCCCTTAATTAATTTATTATTTACTTCAAACAATTAACTTGTAACCATTACAAAGAAATCCACCCGGCGTTTAGCCTGCTATCAGTTCAAAACTAGTCATTGGTCAGCGGATAACTTTAAAAAAGCACGTAAGCGTGATGGGTCGACACCTGGGCCCAGATATGGTCATTTGATACTGGTCAGTGGATACCAACTGACCGCAGCATGTATTTGCAATGTCGGGTTGCAGGCTCCCACATGTGCTAGAAAATGTGAGACTTCACATGGGTTGCCATGCAGACGGATGGGTTGACGGAGGGACAGTCACGTTACTACCAAAATTTCTCGGATGAATAGATAACAAATCTCTCACCTATGGGGCGCCGCTAGCGCGAAGAAGTATCCCCTGAAATCGGCACTTGTTTATTTGTATGTAAGGTCATGTGTTCCTTAATCTCCGTCATATCGGAGTTCCAGTATCCACTCTCATAAAGAATACTGAGTACGATTACAACAGGGGCTCCTCTTACACTCGTTGTAGTTGGCCATGTATCCATTTTCTTCTTGGTTGCTGCAGAGCTTGACATTTCTTCCTGTGGATGGTCATCCTCCTAAGTCAAGGGCAAGTATAGTCCAGTTTCCTGGACGTTACAAGATTCCTGCTATCGTCAGACGCAAGTGAATTTTTTTGGTTAATGCAAGGACAAGTTGATTTCAACCAAATTAAGAAATCGTAAACGAGAAGCGTGCAACCATTATGGGTGCACGCGAGAGGTTTCTACGGCACGAAAGAAGCGTAAGAGCTGCTCGAGGCTTAGCCGAGAGCAACTCCAGCTTCTTGAGTGCTTAGCAAACCTCCCAAGTGCATCCAAAAACCCGATTGTTGCACAGCTACAACGTTAACCATTTCTGTTATAACATAATCAAAAGCGGAAACAATTTCCATCTGCCTTCAATTGGTCGAGTCAGTCATCGGCACTATAAACGAGTAGATGTATGCTGTCATCTGCGCGCTTAAACAGATAATGCCTTTCAAAACTGCCTCTAAAGTTTTCCTTTCGCTGAATCAACCGTTCTCCGTCTTAAAGTAAATTGCAAAACGTTTTTCTTTGTTGTTATTCTGAATGGCGTCTGTCTACTTGCTCTTGATCGGGGTAAATACTATAGGGAAAAACTATAGCTATAGCTGCAACTATGAACACCAAATCAAAAACTGTGCAACTTAAAATAGGATAATTGGGTGACAATTTTTGCATTAAAAGTTAAAGTAGAAATTAGAAAAAAAAATACTGTATTGTCTTTTAAATAACAGGAAACATTAATTTTTTAAAGAAACTAATTAGCTTTGTATCGAAATTTGTCCAGCGAAATGGAGCTAAAAGTCAAACTGAAATAGCAAAAATTCGCCACACAACCGGCGCCGAAGCGATGCGTGAGCAATTTAGATGCTGTTGTCTTACGATCGTGCTTTTAACTACTGTTATGAATTAACAGCAACAAAGTAATAAACAGAGAACTTGTAATTTTCAGGAAAAAAAATTATCTGAAAACCAAATGTTGCTGTTCTCAAATGAAATTCGCACTACATGTACAATTCCAGCGTCATGGTCCGTACTCTCAACTAAAATTAGACCAAAGCTACACAATAAAACTGTCTCGAACCTGAGCGTGTTTCCTAAAATATTTGCCTTAACTTAACATCAACTTGACTGAAAAGTTAATGACACAATGCTAACTGATGCATTCCCATTCAAAAAAAATAATTTTCTCTACTATAAAGTTGAAAAAGTACCTTACGTGCCGGGCTAAAATCCTGTAAAAACTTCGCTCACTCGGTCACTCTAGCACTATTCTACTGAGCTCTCCGCCGCGAAGTAAACAAGGATGAAGTCCTTCAAGGCCAATTTATCCCTTGACTCACTTTCCCTCAAAGCAACAACTGATTTCTAATTTTCATTTGTATATTTTTAAGGTTCATTTAGTTTTTGACCTTGCAAGAAAGGAGATTTGCTCAATTTTACCGCGCTAGCTTTTTGTTGACGTGCACCAATGGGCAAATGGTTGATGGTTGATTGACCAATCAGAGCGCGCGCTTTACTTTTGTTATACGTTATAGAAATATGAATCAACTTTTATATACAGTTGTAAGTAGACCATGTTGCTTAACTCTCGGACTCCTTTTACACTGATTCAAGAGAAATCGCTGAATATTGTGCAAATATTTAGCTCAACAGTTCTATACTTTACTCAGTGATTCACAGGTACCCCCACGAGTGAGAATCGTTGTTGCATGACAGAAATATTATAAGGGTTTGTATGGAGATTTCAGCAATCGTTATTTAGGGGTCAAAAATAGTAATACAAATTTATTGTGTTTTCTTAACATTTTTGGCCTTTAACGAACAACGGCAGAACTAAAACTGGCTGGAATGGCTCCAGTGAAACGGCCAAAAATGCTAATGAAATACCATAAATTTAAGACAAGGAGACAATTAAGGTAAGGAATTCTGATGTATTTTTATTATACTCTAAATAATTGACCCCTAAATAACGATCGCCGAAATCTCCATACAAACCCTTGTAATATTGAAAGGTTACACATGAAAAAACGATTCTCTCTCTTGAACTTGGGGTACCTGTGACTGATTGTGTCAACAATGACAAATTACCGCACAGCTGTACCGTGTTTCGTTGATGAAAGAATATCCACTTTTGAAAAAAATGTCAGCAACTTTCAACCAATATATACCATTGTTTACCCAATGAATTATATGAAACATGTAGGGATGGGGACGGGGAAGGGAAAAGAAAACCGAAAATAATGTATTATGCAGGGCAATTTTTTGAGCCCAACTGCAAAATATTTCGTGTAGAATTGAGTTTTATTGGACAAGGAAAAAGGGGAAAACGTTTTCATTTCAATCATTTCAAATACTACGAGGTTTGTGCTCAGACTGCTCAAGGACAGAGGTTGAAGCAACTCGTGAAGTGGCCTGTTTTAAACATTTTTTTGTTAAAGACATTCCAGTTATTAGTTTTCCGTAGTTTTTATTAATGGTGTAACATTTATGCAAGAGATTGTTAGATGGTGATACAGATGACAAAACGGCCACGGTCATAAAAATTGTTATTTTATTCTGAGGACCTTAGAAAAGGGGTTGAGCCCCTAATAAGACTTGTCAGTATCCGTTTTACGGTAACCAAGAAAATCGACTTGACATGTCAGGCGTACACATCCCTGCAAATGTCCCCTCAGTTGTCCCTGCGTGTATTCAGGGTCCTGGGTCCTGGTAGAGGGATAGCGGTTGCAGAGGCCTTGGAGTTTAATTAGTTAGCTCCTTGCAATACAATAGGAATTTTCAAGGTTTGCAACCATCCTGCAAATGAAACCTTACTGTGAGGACCACCTACAGTACAAGGGGCTCCTCATTTTTAGGTTTACAACTTTTTGTCTTCGCATTTAGAGTCTATGAACTCTGATGGATAAATATTTTTTAATAAACGTCTGATTAAACTATAGTGGTTTAATAGCTAAAGTTTAATGTCTATCTATTTAAGTAAAAGTGAAATCTTAAGATAACGTGACGCAACGAGCTCGGATACTGTGTAATGTTGACATAAACTTAGATCAATGATGACAGAACTCGATTAAATAGATAGAACCTGCCACTTCACAAAGTCATGTGCCTCGCCTCACTAAAGAACCATCACGCAGATGAAGCCTGTGAAACGTACGTACGAAAGAGTTACCTTCTCAGACAGTATCTCTAGAAAAGACTTGTTGCAGTTCTCCCATTATTATATTTGGAATTCAGTTGATGCGAAGAAACGTTTTAGCTTTTAACCCTGTAAGTCCCAATAGTGAACAACATCAATTTTTTCCTAATAATCTCCATACAATGTTAAGAGGTAAGGTTAATATGAGAATTAACAAAATGATCGCATAAGGGAAAATGCTTTGATCTTTATCAAATTCTCTCAACTCATCCTTTAAAGAAATGTATAGAGATCATTTTGGAGAATTTGTATGTGGATATTGGAGCTTAAAGGGTTAAAGAAAATAGCAAATAGCGTGACATATAAGACTTCTAATTTAATACTGAATTACGCAACAGGTCGTCATATCCGTTTACCTCCAATCACATCACGCGACATATTTTCGTAGTTAAACATGGCGTCCCTGCTTGCTTCGGTTTACAATTACCTCAGCCTTGGCAATGTTTTTCTGCTGTTACTTTTGCTGTTCCTTCTCCATTACCTGATGGTGCTTTACGAGTTCAGAAACATGCCACCCGGTCCACGCTTAACAACCCTCCCCGTTCTTGGAAACATCTTCTCTCTTGACCATAAGGCGGAACGATTTCCGGAAACCTTTAGAAGGTCAGCACCTCTAGTAATTAAAAATGGTCAGTACGGTGGTTAAGTCAGGTAGTTAAGCATGCCTGGGGGTACGAAAACGCAAAGCGCAAAGGCGTTATGCATTGCATGATGAGAGTTTTTAAAATGCAAGACGTATGATTCCCTAGCAAAGCAAAGGTCTCCCACGGCGAGGCAAAAACGCTGCTGCAAGCAGGGAAAACGCATGACAAATGCAATTTACTGTCAACATTGTGCTAAGAAGTTCACACATGTTATCTATGCAAAAATGATTCTATTTGCCGGCGTCGCGACGCTGGGTACCAGAGGTTTTTTCTCGCGCGCGACGGGAAGCTTCGTTTCGTCGGCCGTAGGCCGACACGTGTTTGGCCAAAGGCCGAAGACACGATTCGCCGCGAGGAAAAACCACTTTTCGAGCGGGTCACTTTAAGACTTAACCAAAACCGGAAACCGCCCATGGAAAGCCTCTGGCACCCAGGGTGCGGCGTTGCATGCTAGAATCAAAACGATAGAATAACAAAATACAAGTTGAATCTCTCGAAACAGCCACCTTTGGGACAGAGGAAATTAAAGAGGCCGTTACAGAGAGGTTTAATATTGACTGTCCGCCCATAAAAGAAGTGGCCGTTGAAATATCCTTTTCAAAAATGTAACTGGTCTTCTTTTAATAGAACACGTGAGAAAGACGTCCCTGATAGAAGGGTCACTGGCCTACTCGAGCTTCTCTAGGCGAGCCAACTCTTCAAACATTTCTTTGTAAAACGTGGCGAACAGCTTGTGCCAACAACAACAACAATAACAACAAATACGAATCAAAAAGTGGGCTCCGCGGGTCACCCCTTTGTGACGGTAGGGTCACCCTCCTAGCCTGGCCAAGTCACTTGGTCAAGATGAGATAATCAGAGCATGTGCGAGGGCTGTTTTATACAAACAAATCACGTGTACGGTATGCAAGAGCGCTGTTGCGAGAGAACGGTTGAGCGAGTGGCTTTCATGACTTTCCCATAGAGAACCTACTTGCAGGCTATTGCTCGCAGAAACGGCTCATGCACCAAAGTTATAGCCTCCTCGCAGATGTCCTATGGGGTTCGTTCGTCACGCATTCATTTCTCCCCAACGGACGACGTCCGTGGGGGAGAAATGAATGCGTGACAAACGAACCCCAAAGGACGTCTGCGGGGAGGCTACGAAAGTTAGCGTTAAAACATAAATAAATAAACAAGAAGAATAAGAGAAGAAGCACATCCCCCTCCACAAAAATTTAATGGAGGAGTATGGTTAAAAGCATTGTTTTTCATTTATTTCCGCCCTTTTTCTCAAATATCTAGCAAAATCTCATTCAATCATAAAATGACTCAATTATTTTGGACTCCTTGGCTCAATAATTTTTGGAGAAGTTTTGGCTTCTCTCTTTTCGAATGTTTTCAACGCAGAAAAAATAGAAATATTGGATTTTGGGGGTTGTTAAAAATTAAAATATGAAGGGAATAATTAGTAAAAAATAGTAGATAGTCCACTACCACAATAAGGTGCCCGTGATCCTATAAGCGGACTAACTGGTTGATGTGTATACCTTCTCTGCCCTAATTTATTTCCTTCCCAAATCTACATCACTCCATCCCCCTCCCCCTAAAAAACAAAACAAAAACAAAAACAAAAACAAAACACCCAGACTGCCCTCTTAATGGTCGACCATTCACTTGCCTATCGCCACGAGAGGATTTTTCGCTGCGAATGCAATCAACGAAAGCATAAGCCCATCCTAAAGAGAAATAAAACTTCTCTTCACCTGGTAAATCAGTTCATTGTGCTCTCCATTTGCAACGCAAAACCCTTCCTTTCACTTTCCTAAAACTTTTACATTGTAGCCTTCAAGACAAGTACAACGGTATTTTTTCCGTGAAACTTGGAAGCTTCAAGGCGGTTATGGCAAGTTCCTCCGAGGCTGTCAAAGAAGTTCTGGTGAAGAAGTCGGCTGATTACGCTGGAAGACCGCAAATGCACGTTTTTTATGTGTCTACACTAGGTATGTTTAAAGTTCAGTCCACGGACGCAACAACTCCTAACATTGTTGAGGCAACAATGTTGGAGGTTGTTACGTCCGTGTTGGCAGAGGTGTGGAAGCGGATGCAACAACTTCCAACAATGTTGGACCAGTAGTGCATCGTGGGAAGGATACAACCTATAAGACTTTGTAAACTCCGAGGAGACCCCACGTAATGCGCGTGCGTGGCCCCAACAATGACGAAAGAGCTGTACAAACGGGTCCAAAATTGTTGCGTTACGCTTCGGAGATCACAAAAGTTGACCCAACGATGTTGGGAGTTGTTGCGTCCGTTTGCACGTACCTTAAAGAATTTAGTTTTCCCGATTATGTACCTCTGGATGAGCTGTAACAGCTAAATTCATCTTCACCCAAAATCCAAATTTATCTGCCTTAATTAACCCTTTAAATCCTAAAATCGAAATCGAAGTTCTCGCGATCGCTTGTTAACGCAGTAAATGGAAGTAGAAGGGAGAAGTTTTTCTAGGTATAAATCCATCTTGTAAGATCATATCCATAATTCTTGTTGAGACTACATTCTTTCATACCACAGTAATGTAACAAGGAGAAATTTGATGCTGGTCACTCTTTGGGCTATAAAAAGGGTGAAAACAAATCAACATAAACCTGATTAACTAACAAATCAGTCACTTTTTTCGCGGCGGATGCCTCTAGGTGACGATGATTAGCATCGTCTGAGTATGAGGCGTTTCTGCGTGGAAAGAAGGAAATAAAAGCGCTTTCTCCTAAGTAAGGCCTTATACTCGCACCATGATCAACCTTTTTTGTATGAATTGATTGACTAGATAGATATACATTAGGTAGGGTCACACAATAGGCAAGTCACGTTAGAAAATGCAATCAACTGTTCACGTACAATTTGTGTATTAAACAAACAATTCATTAACCTGCGAATACAGCCCGACAGTTGTATCTACTCGCTCCTCGCTAATAGGGATGTTTCATGGGAGACACGTCTGCGCCTTACCGACAGAAATTCCTTACTGATGACCCAAAGCCTGTCCAGAATAATTGATGGGCGTGGTAGTTGTTTTCAGCTATGTTGTTTACGAGTGATAGACAAAAGACAAAATTCATAAAGACTGAATTTTAACGGGATATATCATTCTACTGCAAAACAGTCAGTATTCGTCGAATATGTTCTTCAGAAGAAGAAGCAAGTGAGTTTTGCTGCCGCTCGTTCGCAGAAGAACTTAAAACTCTACTATAATAAAGACCAGGAGAAACGTAAATCCAACAAATTTAAACTCGGAACACCATGGCTACAAGTTTAGTTATGAAAACATTGATTTACATCATCAGTATGGAATAAGATCATTGAGAACGAGCGCTGCAGGCGATCATCTCGACCGAGTCGAACTTGAAGTTGACTGGTCTATCTCCGCTACTTAGGGGACAGGGCATGGTTTGGGATGAGGCGAGGAAAATTCGTATTCTATTAACATGCCTCCCTTCTCCGACGCCCGCCCCAGTGGGTTCATTTGAAACCAATTGCACAATGACTGCCAGTGAGGACTCAACCTCGTTCCCAGGTGCTCTCTCCTCGGGTAGGAGAGAACCCTGGAGGCGAGGTTGGTGAGGACTGTGAACAGTCTATCTCTCCCGCGAAACGTTCCTCGCGAGCGAGGAGCCACTGCTTTGCAGAAGTTTCATGATGCAAACTACCGTATTTATTCGAATAAGCGCCCAACCTCGAACAAGCGCCCACCCCCTCTTCCTCCCAATCAAACTCAAATAAGCGCTCACCCCCACCCCACCCACTTGAATGAATAAATTCTAATAAGAGACTTCCCCAAGGACCGAGTTTTCTTCAGAGTATTTTACAGAAAGCTTGCTTTATTACTTCTTCGCGTTTTGTAATTAGCATTTATTGTTTTGTTGCAAAATAAACATACTTCACTTGCTTGGAAATGGTGAAAATTTAATAAGCGCCCAGCCTCGAATAAGCGCCCACTCTCAAGGTCCAAAAATTTAATAAGCGCCCTGGGCGGTTAATCGAATAAATACGGTACTGCTTTATGGTAAGCAAACAACGGTTTTCGTATTACAGGAGGGAAAGACATAGTTTTTGGTCAAGGTCCTGCTTGGAGGTTCTATCGAAAACTGTTCACAACAGCTTTGCGCCAATACCTCTCGAACTCTCCTCTGATTGAACAAAGAGTCACAACACAGAACAACAAACTGGTAAAGGTCATAGAAAAACAAGCTGGAAAACCTTTCGATCCTGCAGATTGCTTGCAGAGAAGTGTTGCCGACGTTATCTGTGGAATTACTTTCAAAGACGGCACCGACACAACGAACCCAGACATGGACGAACTTCTTAAGCTAAATGTTATGTTTGCTGCCAGCGCGGATGACGCTCAGTTGGCTCTAGTCCTTAATTTTTTTTCGTGGGCACGTCACCTGCCCATAAATGGATCTGATCGTATCATCCAGCTATTTTTTAAGATGCACGATATCATTCGAAAACTACTCAGGGAGAGAAAAGAAACTTTTGACCCGACCGAACCAGTGGAAGATTTTATGTCAGCATTGCTTAAAGCCCAACACGACTTCGAGGAAGAATGTGAGAACGCTGAAGAGAGATCTGCTCTGCTTTCTGAAGACCACTTCATCGCGGCAATTGAGGATATGTTTTTTGCTGGTTACGAAACCACCAGCACGATATTGAGATTTGCCCTTGCTTTCTTAGCCAATAATCCAAAATACCAAGAAGAAATACAACACCAGTTAGATGAAGTGCTTGGGAGTCGCAGACCCTCGTTGGACGATCGCCCGAAATTGCCACTCGTTCAAGCAACGATCTTGGAAGTACTGAGGCTTGGAAACGTTCTGCCTCTAGCAGTTCCTCATGTAGCGATCAACGACACAACTCTCGGCGGATACCGTGTCCCGAAGAGTACAATTGTCTATCCTAACACAGAAGCTGTTCATCTTGATCCCAAATGTTGGGACAACCCGACCGTGTTCAATCCGTACCGCCACGTAGACGCAGAAGGCAAGCTGATCACCAACCAAGGAAATTTCTACCCCTTTGGAGCTGGTCGCCGCTCTTGCGCTGGTGAATCTCTGGCCAAGGTTGAGCTGTTCTTGTTTTCCTCGTGGTTGCTGCAGAGCTTTACTTTTGTTCCGGGGGACGGACATCCCCCCAAACCCAAAGCAGGTCTTGTCCAGTTTCCTTCTTCCTACACCATACGTGCCATCAAAAGGAAGTGAACTGAGCATGACATTCACCACTTTAGGAACGAGAAGGAAACTGAGCTTAGGTAACTTTCGCAAAGACTTCTGGTACTGTTACTAGTCGATCCCAGAATTAATTGCGACACAGTCATTTCGGCTCTAGTTCCCTTTTCTTTACTTGTTGTTGTCGAAGCAAATTTACTACATAAAGGACTCTCTAACAGACTCTAATATTACGAAGTGACGTTCTCATTAAACTGTTAAAATTTGTAACCAGATAACTCTTTCCACCTCTTTTGCTTTTGTTTTTCTCTTGATTGATGGCCCAAGCGCAAAATAAGGATCCGTTATTTACTTTTTTTATCATTTTGGTTTCTTTATGTGGATTAAGCAAGAAAAAAAGCCCTAATTACAAGAAATTCATTTTCAGGGCTTAAAGAACAAACAAACAAACAAAGCAATCGAAACCGCACTATACAAAAACATTTGATAGCTTTTTCGTTGAGATAGCCACACTTATAGCAGCAGATTTGGAGAAAATCACGTTTATGACGATAAAGTGACTACCGGTATTCTAGCCGAGATCGGATGACATCATTGGCCCCCAACTGCGCCATTTACATGTTTCTCATAATATTTTTAAACACCATATTGTAGGCAATTTCACAAAAAAATAATTAAAGGTAAAAAAAAAAAAAAAAGAATCAAAATATCGTATTCAACGAACTGTAGAGCGGGTAGTCCAACTATCCATCCCTCCAACAAGTCCGAGGAATAAATTAATTCCTGGTCGTCAACAACGATTACATACATCACTTACATCTTGAAGAAATTTTGATTTTTCCATTTTTTCCTCAAAAGTGAGGAGAGAAATATACTAGGCATGGAGGAAAGAAGAGTTAAGACTGATCACTCGCAACATGGTGTGATTAAAACCCAGCTGGGAGACTACGCATTTATGCCCCCCAAATTAATTTCATTTGTCTTGAGTGGAAAAGAAGAAGAAGAGAAAGAAGAAGAGTAAGTTGCATTAGGATACCAGCTTTACACACTGCGCTTTTTCGGTCTTGAGTGTCGGCTGATTAAAGTGGGCACTGAATTTTTACACTTCCTTTCAATACACTTCGCTGCCACGTATAGGTAATATAGAAGTTATCAAAGGACCAACTACGTTTTTTGTAATACTGCCCTTAAACCATCGGACATACAAGGTAGGGGGTGAGCAACCTCGTCCCCAAGGCGCTTTCCCTGGCTTTGGAGGTGGGGCGGACACCTCCAAAGCCAGGGAAAAGCGCCCTGGGGACGAGGTTGGGGAGTGAGTGCAATCCCTGGAAGGTTTCTTTGAATCAACCACCAAGACAAGTCATCACATATCCACACTTGGCGTCGGAGCGGGAGCTCGTGCGCAATACCAGTACCAAAAAAAAACAAAATAAAACAAAAACAAAAAAACTGAATGACTTTTAAAAACCTCATGTAGCTTGTCTGCATATAAGCTACGTGAAATGACCAAATTCAAGGTTTTGTGGAGAACGTGAACGCAATATAATTTTCTTTTCTCAATCAGAACTTGAACCTCCTCCCCTACAAATTCCAAACGCAGCTATCTCGGTTACTTAGTGCAAATTTAACTAGCCAATCTAGTTTTAATCATATGGATTTTTCTTTAATAACTTTGTCGTTTGCATCGCCCTTAGTTAGCTTTAAATGACTAGACTTCCTCGTTATGACCTCTGGACCATAAAAAGGATTACAAATCTTCTTTGAAACATAATCAATTTTCCTTTAATTTGTTGATAATGTGATGTTAAATTTGGTGATTTATGTTAACCGATGCCCTTAACCGCACCCGCACCCGCGACATTGCGACATATAGACATACTCCCCTTAATGCAATCTGGAGGGCTGGCGTTGCAATTCGTCTAGCCTTTCACCCAAAACCTGCCTTACAAGGTTGAAGCCACTGGCGACTAGGGTCCCAACTGGTATTAGCTTCCAATATCAACATTGCATGCATGCCTCAAACACTCATCACTTTCGGTCGTTTATATTTGTTTGAAGCTTATGACACTGGCGATAATATAATGTTTATTCATTACTATGGGATCCCTACTAGGAATCGTTACCTTACATTTAAACAATTGTTCTTTGGACTTGTCCCGGTGACTCTATAAAAAAAAACTGACTATTATACAAAGCAATTACCTTAATAAGTTTCTTATTCCCACAAGTTAAACACAGGAGACTCATTAATATACAGTTCATGAGTCATATGAAAATCAACTGGGAGATCTAACGATAGGTAATTTGTCTAAAAAAGCTAAACGGCATATCTGTATACACTTCTCCATTTACTGCAAACAATAACAAAGACTTTAGATGTTCACAACGGCCTTTTGGCTTCGTCTCTAACAGTCTCTTTACTCCGCGTGAAAGCTTAGCTCTGAGGAATCAACATAAATTTAGCCTGCAGTCAGTCAATCAAAATCGTATAAAGTTAGACGATTTAAGCAATAGACCACACTTTCTATGGGTTTACCGGCGTGATAACCCACGCGGGATGTTGGGAGAACACGAGAAAAGCTTGTAAATCACGAGCCGAAGGCGAGTGATTTACAAGCTTTTCGAGTGTTCTCCCAACATCCCAAGTGGGTTATCACGCCGGTAAACCCATAGAAAGTGTGGTCTATTGCTTTTATAAAATAACTTTTAGTAGAATGGAGTATTTTAGGTAAAAAATATGGTTCTAGTACCGTGATCAAGTCACGTCTTCTCTCTAAAGTCATCATAAGCCAATCATGACTCACGATTTAATAGCGTTGAACTTTCTCAAAACTCAGTTCAGTCAAACAACAAACAGCAGCACTTCAAAACACGAGTTTTTGCACTCATTACATGATAACTTATGAAAG